TTTTATTTGTACTGGTACAAATAGTAGTAGCTTTGTAAATCTCTATATTTAGTGGTTTAATGGTTAGCCCTGACTACTAGTAGAAGCCTTGGCAACTGTGCTGTAGTAATTTATTTTGTTACTATTAAAAAATTATTATTAATAAAGATACGAGCAAGGCCTCACCTTAAAACAAAAAAATATATATATAACAACAGCAGATAAAAATAAAATATTCATAGTTACTACTGTAAAGTTCTATATGATAGATCTATAAGTTGTACCTGGGGTATTCTGCGAATAAGAATTCTATTTATATTTGGATACTATTCATATTATATATTGAATAATAGCATCTTTATACTTTAAAAAATATCTAGCTAGTTTAAACTATTAAAGACTAGTAAAGTTGATCGAAAAATATACAGTGGGTATATCTTTAGTCTTTGTAAAGATCCAGATATATCGGTTAGCACTTTACGGTACTACTGTTAGAATTAAAAAATTTAAACATATTAGTGAAAATAAGACTTTTAACTATTTCTGTATTACTGCTACTATAATAAATATATAAAGATTTTTCAAAATTGAATTATTTTTTATATTTGTATAATCTAATACTTCTGCAGTATTTTGTAAATATTGCATATAATAACAAATTTTGTTTAAAACAATACTTTAAATATCAACAATACTATCTTGATTCACTATATAAAAATCTTATAATTGTATATTGCTGGTATAGTTTTTGCTATTTCGTGATGGAACAGCAATATTTTTTGTTAATCTATCCAATACTATTGTCTTTTCAAGATCTCTTAATACATAATTAATAGTAAATATATTTTGAATAAACTTGCATAAATAAGGTATTGAATTTTGAGCATATAATTCATCTATATCTGTTATATTTAACCACCAATTTAATACCTAAATAGTTGTAGATTCGTCTACGAATGTGACAACTTCTTCTTTTTGTAAAGAACTTGTTATAGGACTACAAATACAATAAAATATATCATTTCAAGCCAAATAAAAAAAGAGCTGATAGAATAATAACACTATATACTAACCAGTTTTTTCTTTTTAAAATCTTTCACTAACATCTCAATGCTATTGATTAATTTATTACAGAAATTACCAAAGTGTTTTGTAGCTATTTGAAGCTATTTGATATCTTCAGCTGAATTAAAATCATATTTGATAATCTGCTGTATCAAGTTCTTAAACACTTTTCTTGGAGGATATCGAATACAAAGAAAAAGACACTTTAATTCTTCCAAATAGTCTCAACTAACCTTTGTCTTTATATGAATTTATTAATATTTTATAAAGATATTTATTAAAAAAAAAAGTGAAGCTATCTTATCATATAGACTTTGCATTGTCATTGATAATGCTAAAGAGCTAAAGGGTATAAATTGTGTGCTATCTGCACTAGAGTTTGCATTGACAAATTCATACTATTTGCAAGCTGTAGAATGGTTGAATTTGAACATAACCACAAGCAAATCTGATAAATAGACATGTCATTAAACAATAACAGAATAATTGTATTGTTGTGATTGAAATGGCCAGATATATTATTGGGAGAGTTTAATTTTATAGTTGCTAAGTTTTTTAAAGGTGTGACTAATGGACTAATCAGATGTTAGTAGAAATCATTTTGAATATTAGTATTAGTTCTTAAACTTTAAGTTGGTGATGATCTTCTTGAAAGTACAACTCTTGGCCCTAAAGTTGGTAAAAACTGTCGTAAAGGTCCTAGGACTAATTTTTATTGCTAAATCATGGAGTCAGTGATTGTTGTCATGAAAGCATGATTAATGAAGATTGAGACAATCTACCAAGGCTTGCAATTTCATTATTGTCTAAAAGAGAGTTGTGAAAATATCACTATAACAAAATAAAAATGATAAGCTTACAAAGCAGTCATTACCTTGTAAATCATCGTTATCTAAAAAGAGAATTATAAAAATATTACAATATAACAAAACTATAATGATAATTCACAAAAGTAGTCATTACCTTGTAAGTCATCAGAATCATTTAAAAGTTCATAAATTACTTGTGAAGATGAAGGTATAATCATTTTTTGTTTCTTATTGCAACTTTGCATATCTTTATTATTACTTAAAAAAGAAAATCATTGTATAAAATATTATATAAATAATTAATAAAACCTAGAATAATATTTGCTTTGTAAATTGTTAGCAACGTTGATAAGTTTGTCAATTATCTGTAAAGATGAAGATATAGCTGTTTTGCCTCTTTTTTCTACCTTACTTATTTTTATTGATATCTAAAAAAAAAATATAAAATATTATAATTAACAAAAATTAAAATCAAAGTAATATTATAACCCATGGGGCACCAATTAGGAAGAACCACTTGCAAATCCCGAGTATGGTGTTCATCTGGTGTGATGGTGGGACTGATGAAGAAATGCAAACCGTACGATCAGTGCAAACATACAATAAGACCATATAAAGGTAATCTCCTATACATATAGAGTAGAACTATTGTATAGTCACACTAATCAAATACAAACATATATACACAAACACAAAATAAACACTATATGGACAATTAAAGTTCTTCTGTAAAACATTAATGCAGCCACCACCTTACTA